TTTGTATCTAAGTATGTAAATATATTCTTGCATCAACTTGAAATTCACTTATTCCGATATAATAATAATAATAATAAATTTTTTTTTTTTCAAATTGCGTAATGATCATCAAGCCAATAAATTTTAATTTTTGCGTGATATATGGAAGGGAGATCGTCACAAAATTTAGCCAATGAAATCAAATGTCCATTATGCTTAGATTATTTTAGTGAAGAAAAATAGTACACTAATTAGCACAAAAGAATTTTAAATTGCATACAAACCTTACCCCTCCCACTTCAATAAGATTACAGCAAGGTACTAATAATGACTTGATTGACATAATGGTGGTGCAACTGTATAGCCCTTGAGTTGATTCCATGAAATTGCTCTGGTAAAATTTTTTATCATATATGATTAATTATATATCTTAAAAAAAATAAAATAAACAAACATAACTTAGCTTTTTATTACTATTTAATCTTTTCCTTGAACATGATTGTCTCCATATACATTAAAATGCTTATAATGATTATTCAATTTGTTATTGACATAACAAATAATTGCATCACCCAAGTAATAAATAATACCAAGACCATGCAGAAATGAAAACAATAATGCTTGTCTACCCAGGTCTCTAGGGTTCATAATAATAAAATAAATAAATAAACAATTCTACTCCCCCTTGAACTAGATTTGACTGGATGTTATTAGGGAGGACCCAATTGTATATAGTTCCTTAAAAACCATAAATAAATCTGATGTTGATCACAGGTGTCAGATTTAATAAAATTTTCCTGCCCCAAACATGGATGACGGTGGATTTACACAATCTGCAACATGGAAATTCCATGGTGAGAAATGGACAAAAACATGCCTGGAGGCTTTAATAGGATCCACAGGTGCTGTTGTGTTATCTTCTCCTCAGACAAGGTTATTACTCATGTGATATTTGCTTCATGTTACCCTCCCACTAGTATAAAGTTGGTCTGCAGCTGATTGAAATTCTGCCCAAAACTTGTTGGTTTCAATGGACCTATTACTATAACAAATATATAAGCAAAGTTGAATTTATTATTTTTTAAATGGATAGAAGATGTTGTGTATATTTAATTTATTGGACAAACCTGGATTGCATATTTGCAGTATTAATACTTTCATGTGAAACTTGGTTATTCTTGGTATTTAGTTCTGCTACCTCCATCAGGTTGCTCTGTTTTGTTGGTGGCATGCCTACACACCAACAAAAGGTTGGACCTAAGTCAAGATGAAGGTCAATTGTTACACTTGTAAAAATATTCAGATTATAAAAATATATTATTCCCTTTATTATAATAAAATGATTATGATATAGCTTTACTGATAAAGGCACAAAACCAAATTAAACAATTAACTATTACTTCAATCTGCAAATCAAATCATCCAGAAGCAGTAAATGGTTATGATAGTTTGGGAAAAAATAATTTGGATTCTTTATTATTACCGAAATTTACGAATTTACATGCAACATGTAAGATTTACCAAGCTAAATGCTATTTAATACGATATTGATTGATGAAGTCGTTTGGGCTATAATATCTGACATTGGGGATTGAAGTTTTTACCAATAAAAGCAACAGTTTCCTTTATCCATGTATGTTGATTGAACACGAACTTTCCTTTGTTTTCAAAATTTCAGTTGTTATGATACATATACACCATCTGATAGAAATATTTACTGTGCCAGTTGGAATCAAATTGTCCAAATGTCCAAAATAAAATGAACCGGATATAGTAAAGAGTGCTTGCTAACGACAAGAATTATATCTATTACAAGTTGAACATGTCATATCCTTCCTTATTTTTGTCCGGATATTCTTCCATCTTAATAATTATATTATAAATTCAATCACAATAATAATAAGATTTGTTAAAAAGATAAATTTTTATTTTTTTGAAAGAATTATTGTCACATTAAAAAGATAGTTTCCACTACCAAACGTAATGTAAATAAAATCTAACAATATTATATTTTTTTTTTTGAAAAAAATGCATTAATGTTTAAAATTTTTTTTGTTCATATTAATATTAAATTTATTAATATACACATACACATGTATATATAACAATTTATTATTGTTATTATATAATAATATATTTTTTTTTTTAAATCTAAATAATAATAATAAAATTTTAGTAATTTGTAAATAAGATGTAGTAAAGTTTATATTCTTAACATATTTATTATATACCTCGTCAACATCAAATTCAAAGTTACATTCTTCATCTTCTGGTCCAAAGGTATCTGTCTCATTGATTTTCGCTAATAATTTAATAAATCCAAAAATAATTCAATTAAATAATTAACAAATAATTTATGAAATTTTTTTGTATTTTTTATCTCTTTACCATTTTCTGGCAATTCTCCATATGCTTTTAAGTTCCTTGCTTCTTCAGTTGTATATTTTAAAATAACATCAGCTTTGGAATCTTGATAATCACGAAGCGAAATCAAGATAATATCTCCTTGATTAATCCAAACCTATTTTAAATTATTAATGTGACGATAAGTATTATAGTAAATATAGCAAATATGGTATTTATTTGTTATATTATTACTTTTTTCCGTAGTTTACCACGAATGTGTGCTAAACGTTTTTCTCCATCAAAACATTGTGCTTCCAAGCGACCATTTCCAAGCATTTTTATAACTTGTGCATATTCTATGTTAAAAGTAAATAAATAATTATTAAAACAAATAAATGCATTTTAAAATTATTCATGTTCATCTTTATATTTTTACCTTGACCATCTTCTTTAAATACAAGTTCTCTTTTCTCAGATTCATTTTCATTTTTACCTCTTCTTCTATTTTTACCTCCCTAAAATAAAGCATTAGATCAAAAATTTTTTTTTTTGTAAATTATTGTACAAGTCGGCGCTCTATATAGCAATATAATGAAGTTAGAAATTTTCCAATTCATAATAATATATATATATATATATACAAGTAACGATAATGAATCGTTCTATATAATGAAAACACAAGCTTCACTATATAGAGCGCTGACTGTACTATTATTTTAATTTGTAATTAATATATATATATGTATATATATTCTTTACCTTTCCTTTATTTTTTGGCATGTCTATAGAGTTATAAGTTTTTTGTATTGATCTATTCTAGATCTTTTTCAATTAAAAAAAAATTAAAAGAAAATAAATTGGTGCAACAAGAGGTATAGAAAGAAAAAAAAGTTGATCACAATACGATAAGGTTATCTATGTATGTAGGTAGATTTACATACGTCACTAAATACTACCACCAATATAGAAGACAAGTTATATAGTATTAGGTAATGAAATTCTGCGCCAAAGCGCCCAATCATAAATCAATTACATGTGACATGTGACTAAAATAAAAAAACACGTAAACGCGAATTTTTTTTTTAAATCGAATTAAAATGAGAATCAAACGAGTCGTAAAGCCAGCAGCACAACCTATAATAATAAAACAAATATTCTCAACTCTTTTAACCGAAGTTGGTTTAAGCATTAATCAGTGTGAAGAAGAATTTCATAACATACGTAAATATAAATTTTTTAATATAAAATCATGCTTTTCAATTACTTTAATCAATATACAAAATTATTTAATAGCTGTTGAGCCTTCTGTGTTTCGTCGCCAACTTACTATAAAGCTTAAAAACCAACCAAAATTTCCAGATCCATTTATCGGTCAATTTCTGGATTCATTACAAGAATATTTGGACCAAGATGCAAAATATTTGACATTATGCCTGCATCCATTATCTGTCAACGGTCAAACAAGAAGGCAGATATCGGTTTTATACATTACCTATAAATTAATTGTTTTTTTAATAATTTGTTCTCTTATTTTAACAACTTAACTTTCAATTATTGCTTTTAATCAATATTTTTTCGTTTTTTTGGGGATTAAACCAAAGTGGTGCAACAGCCGATAGTTTGATTAAAGTTCTCTTGAGCATTGATTTCTTGCAAACAAAGCTTATTGATCATTTGTTGGAAAGATTACCTACCTTCATATCCGAGTCCGACGATGAAACTATCGAATCCCCATTACCTAGATTAATACTACAACAATTAAAATATCTTGACCATATAGTTGACCCAATTCGTTTATCTGAAAAAATCCTTGAGGTAAATTTAATTTAATTATATTATAATTGTTGTTGTTGTTGTTGTTGTTGTTGTTGTACTTATTGTTATGATTATTATCATTATTATCATTAGATGATCCCACTTTCACCATTAGGTGTTCAACGAGAAATCATTACAAGTCTACCTGAAATTATAAATGATTCTGAACAAAAGGTAAATTCAATGAAATTAACTGGATTATTTTTAAATTAGTCAACTTTTTATTGAATTTATTAATATCTTATGACAACTACAACAACAATATTTTATTAACATTAATATTATTGCAGACTTTTATAAAAGAACTTGTAAATTTGATGGATCAAAATCATCAATTGCTTGTTCCAATTCTTGATGCTTTATCTAATTTTGATAACAATAGTCAAATGCTACGACAAATCCAAGAATCTGTTATTGATAAGCTTGAATGTGCTAATTTGGATGATTTGCCAATAATCATACAATTCTTATTTGATGCATCTACTTCTGATGATGTTAACAAGGTGATTTCATTATGGGTTTCATTTATATTAATTTTGATTATCCATAAAGATAATAATTAATAATCAACCATATAATGTTTTTCAGGTTATCCGAAAAATCCGAGATAAAGTTGATTTCAGATCCATTGAAAAAATTCAAGATGAATTGGCTGTCTCTAAGCGTAATCAAAAAAGAAAAAGAGACCAAACACCAGAGCCTTTAATATTAGAGTCAATCAAATTTTGCATTTTGTCTCGCAAATATATTCATGATGCATGGTTAAAAATCATAAATGATATAAGCTCTCCGGTAATCGTTATTCAAATTCTAATAAAATTCATTGTTTTCTAGTTTTTTAAATCAATCTTATCAAAAAAATTTTTTAAATAGATTGATCACAAGATTATTGATATATTGGTATTGTTGATCTTGCATTCAATTAAAAGTTCAAAGAAAAAAGTAGAGGCCATTTTTCGTAAAAAAATTTCTGTTGGTTTATTTACACAATCATTATTGAAAGAAACTATCATCAACCACCATGCGGGCTTAGAATATTATTTCCCTAGTATACTTTCATTATCCGAATGCTTGCTACGTACAAGTCTTCAAGACGCAACCATTGTTCGTGCTGCTTGTGCTTTTTATCATAGCGCTTTTGTAGCTTTTGATACTATTCAACAACAAGAAATAATTTGTTCTCTGGCAACTCATATTGGTTGTGGCTCTTTTACAGAAGTTGATTCCGCATTATCAGTTCTGCTACACCTTGTTGATACTAATGTCAAAGAAATGGTTAGATTTTCTATCTTCATAAAAAGCCTTTTGGATTCCTTGGACCAGCTAACTCTAGACCAAACTAGAGTCTTGTTTGAAATTTTTTGTAAATTTATCTATGAGGTATTTATATTTACTATTGAAATCGTTTGCATGATTTTTCCAATTATTTATTTTAATTATCGCTAAACTTTTTTGAAAGGACTCAAAAAACTATGAAATTAACGGTGGATTATTAGCAGAGTTCTCAATTATTATTCAAAAAATGCTTTCCAATTCTAATGAAAAGTATACGCAAATAGGTGTCATTGGTGCCTTGGCTTTGGTGCGAACACTAGGTTCTAAACAATTAACATCAGATTTTAAAGAAGATAATGGTAATTGGTGTTCATCAGTAATGGTAGTGTTACTGACAGTGTGGTTAATTATTTTACAGGGCATTATTTTATATAATTTAATTAATTAATATTGATGTTATTATTATATTAGGTTCACAGAGTCATCGTGGGGGTACAAATTATTTATTAAAAGTAGCAGAAGAACATATAATTAAGATAGAACAACATTGTTCAAGACATATGGTAATTTAATAACTTAAAACATGTAATTATTGTTGTTGTTGTTGCTGTTTACTAAATTTAATTTTTATTGGAAAAAAAAAGAATTGTCTTTCTTTTGCATATGACGAACTTGCATATTTTATCTCAAAAAATTTATTAGATTCTAAACTTGAAAAACTAATCAATGAAAAAATGGCTTCATCTTTTCAAAATATTTTTATTGTTGATCATGAAGAAGTATCAGATTTGCAAAAAATAAACTATCATTTGAAAGAAATTCCAATAGAAATTTGGATGCAATTGGATGATCAGGTTGATGAATAATTCTTTGAACTAGCTATTAGCAAATTGTTTATTATTATTTTGAGTTTAATATATATTTATAAAAATTTTATATTTAAAATATTTATTATAATAGAATGAACTTTACAACAATATATACCCATTGCTATGCGAACCGTGGATCAGTTCTGAATTACGCATACGCTATAAATCGAAACGCGATTGGCTAATTTGTTGTTGTTCTATGTTTAAATTACTGCAGGCTTGCATTAAGGCAGAACATGAAGGATCACTCTTTGAAATCGATGCTTTGTTGGGGTCTGGAATCACGATGTTTCAAAAAATTGACCCTAATGTAAAAATTGACCATGTCTATTTAATTTATTTGAAACCTATTTTGCTTATTAATAAATTATTTCATTTATTTATTTTACAGGAAATGAAAGACTTCTCACAAGAAATACGTGAAACCGCCTGCAATGCTATTTTTTATTGTATTAACTGGTGAATATTTATTATTGTTGTTGGCAATTGTCTATTGTTATCAGTGATAATAATTATTACTAATTGAAATATTGATTAGGTTCCGTGAATTAATAAATGCTTTCTGTGATCAAAGGGAGGCTGAAAATTATCGTAAGATTTTTTTGATTCTTAATCGATTAGCATTGCCATAGTTATTGATAGTAATAACAACTTTCAATATCATCATTTCGCTATCATCGTGTTTCAGAAAAGCTTAATTTAAGATTGAAGCATATAAATGAATTGGAAAAATTATTGAATGCTATGCTAGAAGTGACTCCGTCATTTCAGCCTTTTGGATTTCCATCGCAATCAATTCAACAATCTACACAGAACAGAGGCAAGAAACAAAACAAATCGATTGGAACACTTATTGCTGGATCTTCATCTTCCCAAAGACTTGTTTCTAATTCTGGTAAAACATTAAGGCGTTCGGCTACTAATAAAGCAAAAGTCATAAGTGTTCGTGCATTTAATGAAAATGAAAGCGCTAAAAGTTCCAATGTCCCTTTGAAGCCTAATTTTGCATCAGTTAACGACTTAAAGCCATTAATGCGCGAACTGGAAATGCCAGTCTTTGGACTTTTGGAGTTTGGTTATATTAAACAAACAACGGATATTGAAATTACAAGTGATTTTGCACGTTTAGAACCAAGCGAAATGCTCTATCTACTTGAAGATCTCAATCGTAAACTTGAGTTTAAATTATATACAGAAACTTCAACATCACCAGTGCCTTTTTTTGCAAGCAAATTAAAGAAAAATGACGGTAAAAAATCACAAGGATTTTCATCAATTTCTCGTACAAGTGCTCTTGAAATTGTTGAAATCGTAATAGGTTTTTTACCATTTTTACTTAAACAAATGGAATCTTTTTTAAACGTGATTAATACAAATGATGGTGATATTTTATTCGAGGAAAAGGAATTAGAAGATATTTATCATTGTTTGGGATTCATATGGCAAATTATATATCGATTAATTTCTTGGAATGATTTAAAAAGTCCTGATAATGTTGAAATTTTAATCAAAGTTTTAAACCAGTTTTCTTCTAAAGAACAAAGCCAGTCACTATTGTGTTCCACTTTTACAAAACAACAACTACTCCATGAATCTATTTACGATGCATTTAATTATCTATACAAATTTGAATCAAATGTTCCTACCGCTAATTTGGCAATAAAATACCACAAGATACTTAAAAAAATTGTAGAATTCGCACCAAATTTGACTGAACTGACAGCTAAATGTGGTGAATTGGCGCATAAATTTTCTTCTCAAGAATGGGAAGACAAATGGAAATTAAATTCAGAATCTATTTTATATCTCGTACTACAAGATATTCAATATGCAACAATTCCGATAGATAGAATTTCATATTATACTACAAAAATTCTTCCTTCGCTTGAAACTTGCGATGAAGGATTAGATAAAAACCCTTTGCTTACAAAAGACACCTTTCCACATTTCTATAAAGCATTATCAATCTCTTTAGTAGATACTTTACGGGAGTATGATGATTGCAAGTTTGATACCAATGATGAGATATTATTACATTTAGCAAAAATAGTAGAGTGTTGGAAAGAATTAGTAAATGTTATAAAGAGCAATCATAATCGCGTAATTTTATCAATTGCATTAAAATACGGTCGTAATTTCATTGACCTTTTTTTAAAAAAAATATTGCCTTTTATGGATTCAAATTTTAAATCGCACAGAAATGATATAGTGATAATTTTTAAGAACTTTCAATCTTCATCTCGAAGTATTCAGGTAATAATTATTAATTATATATTAGTATTATATATACATGTGATTTATACTGATTAATAATTTTTTTATTATTCGTTTTGTCAGGCACTTTGTAATCATGTAAAAGTTACACGAGACACACTCTTGGCAAAGTTCGTGCCCCTTGTCAAAAAATCATTAGAGATTGTTATATTTCAAGTCAAGGCGATGTTACAAAACAATGGATGTCCACCAGATGCCTTTTTTTTGGGAAATCTCAAACATCGAGATCTAGAAGGACAAGAAGTTGGTGATGAGATGCCATGCAATGGCCCACAAGCTCAACAAGACGACGAGGTTAACTCTGTTTTAAATGATGATGATGATGATGATGGCGATGATGAGGATGTAGAACAAATTGATGAGGAGAAGGAATATGCCAATGAAGAAGAAAGTGATGTAAATGACGAGGATGAAAATAAATCTATTTCAACTAATTCATCATCATCTAAAGCTAATCGAAAAAAATTGCAAAGATGTGAATCTCCTGAGGATGAAATAATATAGGCGAAAAGTAATATTCAGATTATTGACTCAGAAGTGGGTAAAAAGAACGAACAATAATTGAACATTTATTAGATAATGAAATTACAAAAAAAGCCTTTAATATAATAAAATCAAATTTTTTTTGTCACTATTTGTGCGAAGAAAATTTTCATTGTTTGATTTTTTCCTCTCATTTTTTTCAATTCTAGACAATAAATAGTGTATGTAAAACCAGTTAAGTACTAACCATTGGCTAGTCACTTTTTGTATAGGATTGATTAGATACTGTTCTACCATAAATATCCGACCACCCAAGTTGTGTAACGTCAATGAAGAGTCCTTACTAAAAAAGTAACGTTTTCTTAAATAAAACCTTTTTTACTTTACTAAGTAGACCTGTACTTGATATCAAAACCTCTAAATTACAAAAACTTTGAAAGGTTTGATATGGTATTAATGGAAACATTTAGCAAATAGTCCAAAAAAACAAATTTCAATCGGAATCTTTACATGTAATAAATTTCAAATTTCTTCATTGTAATGTATGTTATTTCATTAATAAAATATGTTCAACGTAACAGATTACATATATCTACAATATGGTGGTGGCATAAATTAGCTCGTGAAAAGGGTTTAAAAAAGTATCCGACCACCCCGTAATTTTATTATATATAAAACACTTAATAAGGTTGACAAAATGCAAATTTTAAGGCTTTACGTTTGTTGTCTATACTTGATCAAATTTTCTCAAATTTTAACCATATACAATTCAAGTTATGTTAAGCGGACTTACTTAATGACGTGATCCATGATTCAACGGAGTTTTGAAAGTTTTTACTAAGCTTAAAGTTTTCATAAAAATCACGGAATTTTTCGTCTAATTTAAAAATTTTCATCCTAAATACATTATGAATGCAAACCCAACGAGACTTTAAGTTTATATGCAAATTAACTTTTAAAAACACGTTTACTTAATGCACCAGTCCTGGTTTGATTTGAACTGCACAAGGCGTAACATTTCCGATTATTAAAATGATCATCAGGTGGTCGGATATTTATGGTAGGTGAGTGAGTGTATATTAATATTAATATACAAATTTTCCATAAAGTGCTAAAATGTTACAGGGTCAATTTATTATAGGACCCTTGAAAAAGATCTGCGGTTTAAGGGATTTGCTGTACTCACTCTTTGCGCGGTTTCTAAGCTACATGAGGAGTTACATTGTAATTGGGAATATGGTTCGTTTCTATTCGTATGAAACGAAACAATTACAAATTAAAATATCTGAAATAATTAATTATCCGTAGAATTTGCTGATAAATACGCAGAAAATTTCTGCACATATATATATACAGTTACTAATTAGAAATTCAAAATTTTATTAAATTAATGATAAATGATGACAATAAATATATGTGTGAAATAATGATATTTGTGTGATGTTTGTTAATAATTTTTCGTGGAAAAAAAAAATCAAATAAATAATTACAATCACCAGTATTGTAATATTTCATAAACTTCAGCTGCAATTTCAGTATTATCGGCTTGAAACACTTCATGTTTTAAATTATTTAATTGTTGTTCTAAATTAATGTAATTGTGTACAGCCAAAAGTTCTTTTGGATCAAAGGTTTTTGTTAAAGTAATTTTTGTTGGTATTTGTAATTCATCAAATTTCAACAGTCTGCTTGTATAACAAGCATTTTCATCATTATACATTTGCTTGGTAGTCTTTTGGTTTTTAATGTTATCTGCAGCAGCAAATTCCATGGAGATTTTCGATGTAGGCATATTACACACTTTACACAACCAATCACTCAAAGTTTTATACAATTCATCGGCTGTTGGTCGTTTGAATGGATCAGCATGCCAGCATTCTTTCATCAAATTGAGATAAGATTCTGGTATTTTATCGACATTGCCATCATCCTCATCAATATCGGGTCTTAATCCATTCAAACATATTTCCATTGCCAAGTTTTTATCATGTGGCCTGTCTGAAAATGGTTTTCTAGAATAAATCAATTCCCACATTATTATACCAAAACTATAAATATCGGCGGCTGATGTGAATTGATTGTTTTGTATAATTTCGGGTGCCGTATAAGGCAAAACTCCGTATACGCCATCGTCATCATCGTCATCGGGTTTGATTCTATTGCATAAACCCAAGTCACTTAATAAAATTGTGTAAGAGTGTATAAGAATATTTCCACTGTGTAAATTTTTGTGAACTTGGTTTTTGCTATGAATACGTGTAAGTCCCGTGGCGATCGCGAATAGAATGTCTAATTTTTTCTGCCAAGTGATTTTTTTTGATATATTTTTGCTCAAGTATTTGCCTAGGTCTCCATTTCTTGCGTACTGAACAACAACCATGTAGTTATTTGTTTTTGGATCTTGAGTTAGTCCATAATACCTTGTAATGTAATTTCCACTATTATTTTCACTTTGTAAGTGTATCGAGAGCTAATTGGTTTGAAAAAAATGTATGTATGTTAGAAATATATAGATAATTATAAATTTTTTTTAATAAGCAACGAAAAATATTTTTTTCTTACCTCATCAAAGAATTTTGAATTTATATTTTCAGAATTGTCAATACTTTTTAATACAATTCGCCATTCACCACAACGAACAAAAGTTTTTGATTTTTTATCAAATTTTTCACGTGGGCCATCCAACCAAATCGCCTGATAAGTACTTCCATAACCACCTTGGGCAATAAATTCAATATTTTTCAGTCTATCGTACGGAATCCATTCCAAATAATCGAAACGACTTTTGGCATTTATTTGAGTTGTCAACATGAAACAATCGATATCATCATTTCCAGTTGTCCACGTCCCGTAATTCAATTCAAAATTCTTACTCTCACAATGTTGACACCATAATGTAAAATAGCCGATATCAACTAGCGTTCGCTGACATGTGTGACAAGTAGTTTGTTTTTTTGATGATAATGATAATGAGGAAAAGATTTTCGAGTCACGAGATTTTCTAATACTTATATCCTTGAATTTTGCTAGGTATGATAAAGTTCTTGAGACTCTGTTGTGTAAGGAGACTGTTGAAGAATTATTACTTTTTAATGGTAATTGTTCTTTTTCGTTATTATGATTATAATTGTCCTTCTTTAGATCTTGATATTTTTGAGAATAGTTATTTGATTTACGAAAGGATTGAATACCAAGTATACTATTGGTTCTTGACGGGTTATATTTTTTTGGGGGATTTTTTGTTGATAGAAACTGCATTGATGTATTTTGTGGTTGTGGTAGTAGCGATGTTATTGGAACCATTGTTGGAGGTGGTGTTGATGATGATGATGGTGGTGATGGTGGCGTTGAATGAATCAATACTCCATTTTCCCTTGGATAATTTTGATTTACTGGTAATTGATTTCCATAAAAAGTTTTATCATTATTGTAATTATTGTAATTATTGTAATTATTGTAATTACTGTACTTATTGTAATTATTATAATTATTGTAATTATTGTAATTTGTATATTGTTGTTGCTGTGAATATTGATCATAATTATAATTTGATTGCAAGCGTGAATGTTGATTTTGATTTTGATATGGGTTAAATTGATTAAATTGTTGTTGGTGATTGGGGTATTGGTGTTGATTTGAATAATAATATTGATCATTATATTTTTCTTGGGGTTGATGATAAATTTCGTGATTATTTTTTTCTTGGAATAATGGATTATTGTTGTTGTTGTTAAATGGATGAATAATATTATCTTTTCTATGTTGTTGTTGTTGTTGTTGTTGATTGTTATTATAAAGATCATAGTTATCATTCTTCTTCTCTAAGTTATAATTATAATTATTTTCAAAACTGCGATCATAATTGTTTTCAAAATTGCGATCATAATTATTTTCGGAATTGTGATTATTTTCAAAATCGTTGTCAAAACCATTATTATTGATGCTTCTCGAATTATTATTATTATAATGATTGCTAGTATGATTGTTATGTTTTACATTATTATTGTTTGGTCCAATTAAATAATATAAATGTTGATTATTTGGTTCATGTTGTTGTATCAACCTACTTTGTTCATATTGATTATGTTGAATATGGTTTGAATTATTATTGTTTTTAATAGAACTGTTGATATTGGAAGGATTTGAATCATTTGGGTAATTTGAAGGAAATATGTCATATTTGGCGTTGTATGATGGATTTCGGTTTAGATTTAGTTGTTTTAATAATCGTTTTTGTCTTAATATTTGTAACTTTTGTTGTTTTTGTTGGTTTTTTAATTGTTTTCTAATTCTTTTGGAAATTTTTTTGTTTCCTCTTTTATTTCTTTTCTTTATTTTAAAAAAAAAATTTTTTTTTTTAGGAAAAAAAAAAATGAAAATTTGAACATTCGTAATCAAAAAAGTATAAATATATATATTTACCTTTAAAAACCATCTAAAAAATTTTATTTTAACCATTTCTATAATTAATAATATATTTTCTAACTAAATTTATTTTTGATTTTTTGATTTTTTTTACAAAATTTTTTACACTAATAAAAAATCTTTTTAGATGATTTTTATATATTATTATATTATTTTAATTGTTAATTCTTTATTGGATAAAAGGCTAATCCAACTCAATAACAACAATAACAACCAAATAATGAATTTGAATATTTGTCACATTGTTTTTTTTTTTGGATTTATTCAGGCCTTTCAAGCTGATTTATTATACAAATAATGGATTTTTTGTTTTTAGGGGAAAAGTTTCATTTAAATTACAATTACTGCATGTATGTATATTACTCGTGCATGCATTTATGCATGTGTTTCATCAACATTATTACAATTCTTTTGATTTGTTGGACTTGTTTGTTGAAAATCCAAATAAAAATCCAAAAAAAGCAATTTTTAATTCATAAATAATATGGAAAAGAATCTTTTTGATGATAAAAGATTATAATAATTGGAACAAAAAATATTATTAACAACAAAAAATAAATAATCAAATAGAATCTTTGATTTTTCAATTTCATTAATATTCATCATCATTATTTATAAATTAAGGAAATTTTTTAATTAAATTTACTTTTATAGGCTGAATTAACTGTCATCAGCAGCTAGCTATTATTTAGGCTTGCTAAGCCCAATAAATTCTAAAAGTAATTTTTTGATGCAGAATTTTCTTGGAAGATTTTTTTTAGTTCTTTATAATATTTTTTGTGTAACGAAAGAGAAAAGAATCGGAAGAAAGATCCATTTAAAACCCCTTTTTAGATAAAATTTAAAAAGTGATAATTATCATTAAATACATATATAGTAATTAAATAGTGATAAAATGAATATAACTCGTTGTGCAACACTCTTACATGAATGATTTTTATTTAACAACGACAACTTTATTGATAATTTTAGCAACTCTTAAAAAATGAACGTGAAAATCTTGGTGAATCAGAACATTTTATAGTTGACTTTTAAAAATTAACTTGCAGCATGATGCTAAATCCGTTTTTGTTCAAAAAACAAACAAACAACTTTGTTACACGCTATATTTCTTTTTTAATTTTTAGAACACCCTTGCGATTGTTATTTATTGATATTTGTATTGTTGTCAATATTTGGATTTATGTTAATGTTATTGGTATTAGTGTTATCACGGTTGATGGTGTTATTATGATCAATGTTGACATGGATGTTTGATTGATTCAAGATGTGGTTTATGTTTAAGAGAAGTTAGGGTCATCAGAGCTATATCAATTAGTTGTTTTAGGAAATTTGACCTCGTTAACCAGACTTTGAGAAGTTTTCTTTCCAGTGTGCTATATTTTATATTAATATTAAAATTAAAATTTTTGCGTGATGTGCTATTCTTTAGACTATCGTCTCAATTTTTAGATATGGGAACAAATAATTTCATTATCACATAGTTATCTATTCCTTATTTTTTTTTTGTTCCATCGTGAAAATTCCATTATCTTTTATCATTTATATAAACGAGCTCTTTTCTATATACATAATAAATCATTTTTCTCCTGATGGATGGTGAGTGCCAATTAGCTTATAAAATAATACGAATATTTTGACACCAACAATAATTATTTGTTTAATGGTTTATAGATAACATTAACAAGTTTTGAAGGTATTATTGTTCAAGTATTACAAGTGTTAATGAATCATACGATATGGCTGTTGCAATAACACCAACACGAAAGATAATCTTTAGGAGTTTGGGTCCTATGCTGAAGTAGAGGTGATGATGCAGAAAAGGGGAAACAGCGGTGTACCGGATGGAATACTAGTCAACATGAACACTTCTGTACTATTTTCAAAAGTTGAATTAAGAGATTAATTCCCAGAAATACATGCAGAGTACACATCCAGGTCGTGATTGTATTGATGTATTACAGTTTACTTAAACTATCCGTATGTAAATGAATCTGACATGTACGCCAATGGTCTTTTCATGGTATTAACAGAAAGCTTTGGACGAGAAACCTTAATGGTATTGGGACTGGCTAGATAAGTAGATTATGGACAATTAGAATCCCTTATCAACAAGGTTATCCTGAAATAATTGAAACTGTATCAGAGTCCATTGTTGTTAAGGTATATACATGTGAAATGATACGTGTTAAAGAAGAGCTTTTACAACCTGGACAATTCCATTAGATTGATCCTTCATATGTAATAAGTGGCGTGGTTGATGGGAAAATGGAATTTAGCAAAAGGTGACGACACTTCAGTATATGAGTGTACACTAGAGCATTAGGCACCATATCTAGCTGCAAATGATACACAGATAGCCAAAATTGAAGAAGTACCTGCATGAACAGATATTGCGTACGTTGCTTATCTTTTACCTTTTATTAGCAAGTGTGTACATATACACAATTTTGAATGTCAAGTAGTACTGTTGAATGAGTTCATGCATGCAAAAAACCCAACAAATCCAATTTAAACGAGTCTAACATATTTAACGAATCTGATGACAATAACACCCGCGTCCCTAAAACAAGTTAAATAAAAAGTGGTCCCAGATTAAAAATAGTAAAGAACGATAAATTTAATTGTTATTTATTTATTTATTTATTATTTTTTTTCTTGCATATACAATTTATTCATTCTTATGTAAATTTTTATTTATCCCTTAATATTAATAAAGTATTTTTTTTTTTTTAGTAATATTCTTCCTAATTTGACCATATTAATTATTATCATTGTGTATTGTGTATTCTAGCACGTAGACGACAATTTCATTGGCCTTGGTAGATATTTCTTTCCATTTTTGATATTATGTAGATTCTGGATTTTTCTGCCTCGGATTGATGTCTTTTGATCTAGAAAATTCTCTGAATTTAAACCACTATTTAACACATTTTATTCTTTGCATATGAGGCATATGCTGTGAAATTTCAATGTGCCCCCATTAAATACCCATACTTAAAAGAGTTTTTGATTCTTTATGTAACATTATAATATAAAAAATACCTTTTCTCAGTTTATATCTGTTTCAATATTTGCAAGTACTTATTATTCAAGAATTGAAAGAAACTTCAATATGTTTCTCAAGTAATAAATAAGTGCATCCATAATATATATAATTTATTATTTTTGATTTAAAATGTATGTAGATTTTTATATTTTGGTTAAATTCGAATTATTTGGTTGCACGTGAAATATTATTCTGTTGTAAAGAAGACTTGAAACGGTAAAATTTAGTGCAGTTACGGATGAGATCAAAATCAAAGGGTAATGAGTCGTTTGTTTCCTTTTTTGCTATGCTGGCTTGAAATGATTTGCAAATTGATTTGAAATAATTTGTTAAAAATTGAAGTCTGAACAAAAATATTTTCGTTTTTCATTGTTATCTATTTGACAACCGAAAAACCCGAACCCGACCCGAAACTCGAAAACTTTTTGGACTGTACCAATTATACTTGAAGTCAAAAAATAATTAAATCGTAATAAAAATCCTAAAAATTTGCATTGCACCATCTATCATAATTTTATACAATTGACACAAGATATAATTCGTGATGCAAGTCTCAATTCATGGTGCAAACATGATTTATGACAATTTATTAGCTAACAAAACCTTTTTAGCTTCGAAGCATTGATGTTGCATTAAAAATTAAAAAATTGAAAAGTTTTCATGCAATAAACAAAAGAGTTTTATATGTGGCTAAAGTTTGAATTAATTCATACACACATCACGATTATGTTTTGTGTTGTGATGGTGGCTGAAATTATTTTAAGAAATATGAAATAGTTTATCTATAGAAATTAGGAATTTAGGCTCCTAAACTAGTGACAAAACTTATAAATTACCTAAACTATGGGCAAACTCCTAAACTATCAATCTACGACGATAGATAAAACGGATTTATCGAAGTGCTGTCCAATCACATGCCGGACATGTGATCTATATAGTCACTTTTATTCGCATTTTTATTATTTATTTATATATTTATTAAAAAAGATTATGATTATCATAAAAATAACGTCATTTTTTGACCCAATTCGTTTTGTAATAATAAAACAAATCAACGCATTTGTGGTCGGAAATTAAACAGTAGAGTTTAATTGACCACTTGGTTTTCACCTGCAGTTTAGGTTTCGCCAACTTCGCCGTAAATTTAGGTCTAAACTATGGTTAGTTCCGGCCATCATCTACGAGCCTTGTGTCTTTAATTATGTATTGTGTCACAAATTGTCGTGAATTACGTCTTGCGTCGCGAATTGTGTTTTGCGTCACGCATAACACAAATTGCAGCCTTTAAACCATTATAACTGTTTCGCCTTTTATATTTAATTAATTATTATTATCTGAATTTATTTAAATTACAAAATTTTCATATTAACCCGAAATCAATCTGAACTCGACCCGAAAATTTCGGGTCGGTCTCGGGTTTGCCTTTAAAACATTCGGGTTCGGGTTGACACTTAACCCGCCCGAACCCGACCCGTTAGGAGCTTTACGTTCAAGTTGACCAAAAACTTATGACCTTGAATTTTAGCCTTAGTGTTAATATATTTTCGGGCCACAAGACCGGGATTAAAAACACTTTTTTACATTTTATGTTATTATTATTATCGGTCAATTCAATGATCTACAAACAAAAATTTTTTTCGTGAAAAATTTTTATTAATTTCCCTTTCGGAGAAAACAAACAAATTTATTTTTGAATGGTCTGGATAAGAAAAATTTTATTTTTAATTGCTAAAAAGGGGTTTTTTTTAATTAAGAAAAAAAAAGCTTAGTTGATTTTTTTTTTTCGTAAATAACTTTTGATGTTTGCATGAGGCTTATTCTTCTATAGCGATATACTTGAAAAAAAAAAACAATAGATACAATTGACCTTTAATTTGGGATAAATAAATAAATACGAGGAAAAGATCAGGACAAAAAGATTTTTTTTTTAAATAGGAAAAAAATTAGTTGATTTATTTAACAATCGAAATTTGTAAATAACTCTTGATTCACATGAGGGTTCTTATTTGCAAAGGATATCTTATTAAATTTATTAAATTCGTGAACAAACAAACAAACAATTTTTTTGCTTAACGCAACAAATAAAATAAAAAGATTGATATAATAATAATATGACTGGCTAATATTGATGCTTCGAACAAATATGTAGATACCTCGCATTTGAATGTAACGTAAAGTCAAATCATACATAGAACGCCGTTCCGGCACTATGTGCCTCGCTCGACACTCGAAATCTAATGAAACGTAAAAAGCAATACCGATGACACCGTTTTTTGCAATTTTTTGGTCCACAAGTTAGGGGTGGCGGGCCTATTTATATGTTTTTTGTTGTAGTTTATTAAACTACTCGCTCAATGGCCATGAAATAGTCTATTCTTATTAAAGATTGCATTATTGATCATGAATGCATGATATGATGCCGAGATTCTTCGCATCTAGTGCTAATTTTGATGCTCCGAGCGAATGTACATGTATGTGATTGAGTCGTATAATTTTATAATATTATGACGCCAGAATATCATCGCGCTGACCCAAAAAGAAAAAAAGAACTATATAGTAGCAGTGAAATTACCCATATTTATTTCATTATTACATGTAAATATAGGTATTAAAAATAAAATTTACACGGATTTTTCATTGGTTCCAGTGGTTCCAGTGTTCCAATTCCAGTGATTATCCCACTGGAACCGGAAATTCCCAACACCGGTTTCAGCGAATTATTATTAAACTCGCGTTGTTGCACATTATTATTATGAAAAATTTGTTCAACGAATTTTGATGAAATTTTCTTATATATCCAGTCACTTTGTTGAAACGGGTTTTAATCTGTTTCTGATTTTTAATCAACTTTTCAGTCGATTATTTTAATCACTAGAATTGTCGATTTCAATCTCTATGATGAATACATCCAGAACTCGATAAGATGATGAATTGATAAAATGAATGAATATACGCAATAAACCAATGTTATTTTCTAAAATTTATCTCTATAAGCCGATTTTATTAAGGTTTTTAAACTGAGGATTTTTTTTTTTTGTGAAAACATTGACTTGAGTTTAACGAGTTCTGACTGAAGTTGATTATTGTTTTTATTCTCACTATTATATAATATTTTGATATTTAGACACAATCAATTAATTATATAAAATATATTAATTAGATGACGAAGAAAGGGATTCATAACGAATAAAATTTTTTTTTGGACATGAAGACACTTTTTTTAATTTTTACAAATAGTCTTCCCTAATTTAGATCTTGGTAGGTATTATTCCGTTTTTTGATCTAGCAAACTCTCTGAATTTTAATTGAGGCATATGCCGTTAAACATTCGTGTGCTCCTATTTAAATACGCATAAGGAGTTTCAAAACATTCTTTATATAACACCATTTATTTATTTGGAAAATATTAATTATATGAAAAAATACCCTTCCTCCGCTTCAGTATTTATAAGCACTGATTATTCAAAAATTGAGAGAAACTTCAACATGTTTCTCAAGGAATAAATACAAGTGTTTTTTGTTTTGATTTGAAATAATTTAAAATGTATAAATAGAATCTTTTCCTTAAATAATTACGCCATTTGAATGTAATAGTAATTTAATTAAAACTCTCATTATTGTATTAGGTTGGTGAATGTTAACTTTTATCAACCTTTTTATTTTGATTATTTTTATCATCATAAGACTCTTTAGTTTTTACTTTTTTTTATCATCATCTCCATTTTCATCACTATTCTCATTCTTGTTCTTATTCTTATTCTTATTCTCATTCTCATTCTCATCATTCTTATAATTTCCATTCTTTTTCGATTTTTTAAATATTCCATCAACTAAACTACGCTGCCTTTCCATATTCATCTCAGGTCCCCATCTCCACCTAATATAACGCCTCGATGATTTTTTCTCATCCTCATACATATCCCCTATAATATCATTATCACATTTACCAAATAATGGCGTGTTTGGTCTAAGCCTACCGTATGTTTCTAACATAACTTGGGCAAATGATAACATTGCTAATGTGAACGTTAGGTTTAGTGTGTCCAGGTGTGCTAATGGTAAAAATACAAATATTGTTCCCACAATACATCTAAATCCAATACGAACTCTCTGATATTTATTTTTTTTTCAAAAACAAAAAACAAATTATTTTTTAATATTAACAATGTATGCATGAAAAAATAATTATAACAATCGTTATTTACCTTTGGAATTCTCGCACAACTAACAGTATCTAGTCCTTTATGTAAACATCCGATAAAAGCCAAACAATAAAATGCAAGTGCTAACGAGCCACAAAGTAACCATTGTTGTTGCATTGTGAAGGAATGTTCTGTTGTGGTGGTTTCAGTAGCTGGAGATGGCGAGATTTCGTATGATAATGAATGATCTTCATATGATGGAGGCATTGGGATATCTTGTGCACCATTAAAATCCATGAACATTACTATTTTGTCAAGTGATGACCTATATAATTATATATATGTTATGTTATGTTATGTTATGTTATGTTATGTTAGAAAGATTTAATATTTCTTTTCTTCCCTCAAAAAAAAAAAAAAAAAAAAGTTTACCCGAATGCAATCAATGACATATTCTAAAAGTATTATTTTATCAACCCACAAAACTTATTTATGATTAAAATTTAAATCAATCAAATTAAACCAATCAAATTAAATTACTTACTAAAGGAAAGTGAACCGTTCCAAATAGTACACCAGTGAATACGTGTCTTCTAAGTGCATGTAGATATTGTCTACTGGCTTCAACATCAAAATATATCCAATGTAAATTGTATGATATTAATAGTCCTAACAGTGCCTAATCAGAAACAAATTAATCGAGTAAATAATTGACTAATGATTATTTATTATTATTAATCATTGATTATCTAATGAATATTTCTTTCTACCTTGCCAAGTTGACCATCAGGATAAGAATTAATACCAGTATATATAATTCCAAACATCTAAAAAATAATATAAAAATATCATAAAAATATTCCATTCCAACCACAAAAAAACCATCAAATCTAATCAAAACACTTACAACTTCGCCTAAACAAATAATGGTAAAAGTTCCTAATCTCTCACTCCAATGTTCAATATTCAATGCAGTCTTATACACCGGAGGTTGATAAAACAAGAAAACATCTTTCCATTTCCACTGGTACTCTGTTCCCCTTGTTTTCATTGCTTGGTGAGGAACTATTTGTCGTTTCTCGTTAATACTATTTTCATGGATTGTACTTGCTACACTATCCACTTTTTTAAAGTCACTGTTGCGAAGACGTCTTTTTATACCGTAGCGGTTGTATAATGGAATGACTAAAGACCACAATAATTCTGATTTCATGGATGGTGGATTAAATAATGGTTATTATTAATAAGATTATTAAGCAATGGATACTAAATAGTTAATTATAGATTGCTCCATTATATTACAAATCTATATATCTACAAAAAATGGATGTTTCATACCAAATGCAATTGCAGTCCACATTAAGTCTTTAGTATTTGATGCTGGTACAAATATAGCGGCAAGCCAAAATAGAGTTGGGATAAGAATCCCCCAAGAAAATGTAATCAAGGATCTACGAAACAATGGTAACCATGTTGCCAGTAAAATATACATACACAAAAATGTCATTCTAGCAAAAACATATGATGCTAACAACAATCAATATTTAGGTATTAGAATAATAAAAAAAAAATATTAATTAGTCAGATTAATTAATTAATTGAATTTTTCTTACATAAAAAAATTACTTTGGTATCATTATAAATATCCATTGCATGAGTTCCCATCACTATTACAAGTGACATTTCCTTTAAAGAAATTATTAAAAATTACATAAATATGTTAATTGATTATATTCTCTCTTCTGATATATTAAACTAATTAACTATCAATAATAATTACCCAAAGTAATAAAAATTTTTCAAGAAGATCTTCTGAACTAAAAACATTCAAGTATGTATGAACATCTAGCCAAACACGATAAATAGGATAACTATAAAATTTAACATTTGATTAATTAATTAATATAATATTATAATTACTGCAATTATTAAAAATCCCCATTTTTCCATCCTATTCTTTCCTTTACTATTGTTTTCTGAAACTTACAAGGTAATAATAAACCTTTCCAGATTACTGAATGAAATATCAGAAACCAATAAATGTCCCAAATTATTCACAACTGCTACAAAAATAAGATCCCAAAACAATTCAGTATAACTTGATTTTCTTTCCTCAGCTTCTCGATGTAATGTCCCATCATGCCAATACTGCCTAATTCTAGGTTTACGCCATAGTCGATCGTAAATATGAAGCTCCTCCTCCTCATCAGCAATAATCTCGAGTTTCCTTATTCTCCCAAAAGTATGAACTGTCGCATGTATCAATTGTTCGGAATTTTTATCATCATTACCATGATGGCCAAGTTCCTTTAATTCGTCTACCAACTTGTCCAATTGTTGAGCGATTGATTCTGACCTTGTTTCTGCCTCTAATCTTTCTTGTTCGATTTTTTGTTTTTCTTGTAGTAAATTTCCTGAATTAAGTTTCAATTCATCAATTTTTGCTTTTAATGCTGCTACCTAAAATGTCACATCAAATAAAATAGAATATGAATTTACATACATTATAAATACAAGAACAAATGTTTATTATGTAGTTAGACTTACGTGATCGGGTGAGCCTAATACACAACAGTTTGGAGCTGTCTCTCCACTCAATACTTCGTCTTCACTTGATACAACTAAAATTTTTTGACCATTAATGTGTAATTTTTTAGAAAAATCGTTCCCTTTTTTTTCTTCTGGATTATTTTCAGTTACCACCACTTCTAATTGATCTCTTTTATCATTAACATTATCTATATCAATCGATGTTTCTTCAATCTTTTCTATAATTTTAATGGTAGTTTCTTCATCTTTTGATGTGTTGTTAGAATCATTCATCATTATAAAAATTTAAAAAAAAAGGATTGAATTTTTTGTGAAAATTCAAAAATCGTACATTACATAAAAATCTAAATAAAGGAAATTCAAAACTACAATCGTTTAATTTATGCATTGGTGTTTATGTTTATGTAATACTAGTACAATATGTTATCTAACGCCGCTAAAGAATATTTATGACCCCGGATAATTATAATCCAACTAGTATGGTGAAAATGGGGTGGTCATCACTAGTAAAATCTTCATTTGATGATGATAATATTTTTTTAATCATTTTTAAAAGATATTCGGGGTAGCCTTTTATGATTACATTATAATTATCCGAACACTTCAAAACCTGAAGATCATTCATTACGTTAATGTTAATATTAATCTAGAATAATCGAGAAAGAAAATCGTAACCCAATTTTAGTGTAATTAAATATTACCAATGACACAATTGTATTACCTGTGTATTTGTCTAGTCAAAAATAGTTAATTACATCAGATCGACTATGGAACCCAAAAATTACAGCACAATTAGAAGTATTCTGAAGAAAGAACAAGGTGAAAAAATTGCTCCTTACATTTTCAAAATAAATGATACTCAGATACTTGAAGCTTATCTAAGGAAAGAAAAAATTACCTATAAATTTACCAAGAAGAAAGAAAAATAATAAATGTTGGAAAAAGAAAGCATCATGATGATGTATTATTACCTAATAAAAAGCAAAAATC